AACCGCTGCGCCACCAGGGCTTCTTATACCTTGGGTAGCACTGATATAAAGCATGGTAAAGATGACTAAAATAAGTATTATTCAGTCTTCAAACTCATCCATTCATTTAAGAAATATTTATTGTGCATCAGTGTATTAGATAATTACCTCAGGAGTGATCCTATGAAATTTCTGATTCTGAGGAACAGTTTTTGCACGACTCAGCCATAAGTTAGGGGCCATGTATACCCAGGTAGCTGAAAAGAGGTGGCTTGCTAAATGGAGTTATTTTTAATTGACCATGGATACTTTAGCTAACAATTTTAATTCTGACATAATTTGTTTAAATCTTCCAAAAGTATTTTAGCAACAACTCCTTTATGCTTGATGCAGGGTTACTACAAAACTTGAATTTGTAAAACATGCGGTATCTGCAAGGTGCAATAAAGCAAGTTATGCCTGTACTTTTAAATAGGGTGGCCAGAGAAGGCCTTATTGAGAAGTAACATTTGAACAAAAATCTGAAGTAGGTGACCAAACAACCCAAATAATGAGGCTGAGAATGTCCTTCACAGAGAAAAAAGTGCAAAGCCCCAGGCTAAAGCCATGCTTCAGGACAGGAGTATAGTGGTATTAGGTGCTGTCTCACTCACTGCCCTCGAGTTGGATGCCACTCATAGCGACCCCTCCTTGGGTTTCCAAGGCAGTATCATTACAGAAGTAGATTGCCCAATCTTCCTTCCGGGGAGTGGCTGGTGGGTTTGAACCGCCAGCCTTCTGGTTAGCAGTCAAGTCCAGCTGATTTCAACTCACATTGATCCCATGTGACAGAGTAGAACTGTCTCATAAGGTTTTCTAGGTTGCAGTCTTTATGGAGCAGCTCTGAAGGAGCTCTGGTAGCATAGTGCCTAAGGCACTTGACTGCTAACCTTCTGGTTCAAACCCACCAGCCACTCCTCGAAGGAAGGTCGGGCAATCCTACTTCCGTAGTGATACTGCCTTGGAAACCCAAGGAGGGGTCGCTCTGAGTCAGAGCTGACTCCACGGCAAATAACAACAACAACAACTGGAGGTGTTATGGTTAAAGCATATTGCCAGTAACAAAGAAGTCAGTGGGTCACCAGCACTCTGCAGGACAAAGATGAAGCAGTCTTCTTTCAAAAAGATTTACAGCCTTGGAAACCCTATGGGGCAGTTCTACACTGTACTCCAGCCTCACAATGAATCAGAACCAACTTCATGGCAGTGGGTTTTTGTTTTTTAAAATCTTTACAGAAGTAGATCTCCAGGTCTTTCACTTGCAGAGCTGCTGGGTGGGTCTGAACCATCAACCTTCTGGTTAGCAGCAAGATCACTTAACCTATTGCACCACCAGAGCTCCTTAGAAGGAATGTGGTAGCACTTACTAGTTTCACACCTCAACATTAACATTTCATAATTATAGTAAAATCCTCCATTAGACTCTCAGTGTTTTGAGGACAGAAATCACATCTTCTTCATCTTTGTATCCCCAGCCCTTACTATTGACTGATGAAATAGTTTGGGCTACATAGTATTTTGTATTACATGATAGTACAAACATGTGCACTCCCTCACCCAATAACCAAACCAAAATCAAACTCACTGTCAAGTTGATTCTAACTCACAGTGACCCCCACTGGCTTCCAAAGGCTGTAAATCTTTACGGAAGTAGATTGCCTCATCTTCCTCTCGCAGAGCAGCTGATGGGTTTGAAATGCTGATCTGGTTAGCTGCCAAATGCCTTACTATTGCTACGAGACCTCCTTCTCTCATCTAACAAACCCACCTCTGCATGATGTATATAGGAGCTCTGGTAGTGTAGTGGTTAAAGCATTTAGCTGCTACCCAAAGGTCAGTGCTTCGAACCTATCAGCCATTCTACAGGAGAAAGATGAGGCAGTTTGCTTCGGCAAAGATTTACAGCCTTGGAAATCCTATGGGGCAGTTCAACTCTGTCCTAAAAGGGTCACTGTAAGTGGGAATAGACTGGATGGCAGTGTGATTTGGTTTGGTATGTTGCTTGATTATAAAACACTGCTGCTTACCCAATTAGACATCGCAATCACTCTAGCCTCTTCTTCTTGTCTTCACTCTCACTATTCATTCAGTCAGTGACTAAATAGTGTCAATTTATTTTCATCATCAAACCAGGAAAAAAAACAAAAACCACTACCGTTCAAGTCAATTCTAACTCATGGTGACCCTATATGAAACCAAACCAACCCGGTCTTCCTTCCATAGAGTGGATGGTGCATTTGAACTACTAGCCTTCCGGTGAGCAGTCAAATGCCTTAGGCACTGTGCCAAGAAAGCTCCTTATAGTGACCCAATAGGAAAGAGTAAAGCTGGTCCATCGGGTTTCCAAAGCTGTAAATCTTTACAGAACCAGACTGCCACATCTTTCTCTCATCGAGCGGCTGGTGGGTTTTAACTGTCGATTGTTTGGTTAGTATCCGAGCACTTAAACACTGTGGCACCAGGGCTCCTTTTCATTATCCAAACCAAACCAAACTCAATGCCACTGAGTCAATTCTGACTCATAGCAACCCTCACTGGGTTTCCAAGGTTGCACATCTTCACCGAAGCATACTGCTTCATTGTTCTTCCATGGAGCAGCTGGTGGGTTCAAACCACCGACCTTTTCATTAGCAGCCAAATGCCTTAACCACTATACCACCAAAGCTGCTTTTTCATCATTACCAAAAACCAAAACCAAACCCACTGCCATTGAGTCAATTTTGACTCATAACAACCCCCTTTGGGTTTCTAAGGCAACAAATCTTCACAGAAATAGATTACTGTTTTCCTTCAGGAGTGGCTAGTGGGTTTGAACCACCAACTTCTGTTTAGCAGTCACATGCCTCAGGCACTACATCACCAGAGATCCTTTTCATTATTACAGGGGGCCCAAAATGGTCTTTTTTGCCCCAGTCTTTCTTCCTAAACAGGTAATTCAAATCAAGAGGCCAACTTGCCTTCATTTCTATATATACTAATTTTTAATTTTCGATCTTATTTTATACGCAGCCTGTATGTTTACATAATTTAAGTCAACCATTTAAATGTCTCTTCAAATTTGACACTGGCGGTTTTTATATTAATTAGTGGACTATTCTGTATCATGAAGTTCAATGGGTTTTGTATGCGCCTATTACCTTCAACCACGTTTCTAGAAATTCCAACTAACAGTTTGCATATTCAATTCTCCTTTGTAATTTCAATTTGACATGGTATTCTTCACTTTCCATTATGAGGGCTGTTTCAGGAGTGCCAACAGCTGCTAGGTCTCACATCACAAGTGAGAGGTATTACTTCAGAGTATGCAATTTTAAATTGACATATAGACTGTCACTTATAGGTGCTCACTTTCTAACCAGCTACAGTATAGAAGGCTATGATTTCTGGTAACAAAGGAAATCCTCTAATTGTCCAACTTACTTACAGAATTATCTTTTCAATGCAGGTTAGAGTATTTTAAGTACTATGTAATAGAGAAGGCAGGATTTGGGGGGGGAGGGGAATCCCAAATTTTAACAGTACAGTTTTGTGACCTGAGGGTAATCTGTTTAACTAGAGCTTCAGTTTCCTCATTTAGTAAAAGGTGAATAATATTCTCACTGGGTAACTGCAAGAACAAGTAAAACGATATGAAAGTACAAAACAAATTCTAGTAGTTGATACACATGGCAAAATGGCCCACAGCACAGTTAGTGCTTTCAGGCCTTTTTGAAACTCCAGGAGATTCAAAGTCAGCAGGATTGGGTAGAGAACATCTATGCATTTAAATTATTTTATGGGCAGCTAAAAACAAATAACTATTGTAGGGAGAAGATAAGAATTTAAATCTTCCAAGTACCAATTCTGTATTCTTTCCAGAAGACACTGTGGAAAAAAAAGATTTTTCTCACTCATGTTCCATACTTAGTTAAACCTCAAACAATAACTTATTTTAAACCAACAATTAAAGGCATCAATCTGCAAACAATACCATTTTTGTAAACATTTATATTTTCACTAAAATGTGCAAGAAACCAAGAGAGATTTTTACATACACAAATCTTGTCTTTTAATTCTAAAAACATCCCAGGGAAGTTCTGTTTTGTTTTGTTTCGGGAAACCAGAAAGGGAAAGAACTGGGACTTAGGTTGAGTAAGGAAACTGGTACTCACACGTACCCCGCAGCTATACATTATACACAGGAAAAGGAGGAGGGACCCAAGGAGGGAGTGGTGGCTCCTGTGCCCAGTCTATTAATTCACATTTTGCTCTCTTCTGCTCACATCCTGCGCGGGCTCCACCCAAAGCAACTTTGCGAGGGGGTGGGTGGGACTCACAGCCTAGCAAATAACAGTTCCAGAAAGCGAAACCGAATTGAGGTGAACCTTAAAAACACAGTTCACCAGACAGAGGTGGAGAAGGGGCCCGAGGGGGACTCTTCTTTAGAAGACAAGAGAGGCATCCTTGGCCTCGCTTCCTCCTTGGGGGTACCCCCGCCTCTTGAGTCACAACCAGCTCCCTCCGGTCCTACACATGTAGGGAGGAAGACACTCACAGGGCAGGGCCACTCATCCTGGGAACGTGGGCGGAGAACACAGAACTATTCCTCAGAGATTTCAAAAGAGAAATTGAGGGGCGGCAACCAAAGAGAGGCGGAGGAAAAGAGAAAAGGAAACTGGCTGTAGGGTAGGGGACCCGTGAGATAGTGAGAAGGAACTAAATTGGGAACCTGTTAGGGCCAGCACCCCAGGAAAGAACCTCTACCTGTTGAACAGAACTGGCCCTACCGAGACAGAGAGGGAAGAAAGGCAAGGTACCACAGGGAGCGGACCCGTGGTCTCCAGAGCAGCCTCTCCAGGGCCAGTGGGATCTCAACGCTAGTGCCTGCGGGGCCCCACCCTGAGAAGCCTTGGCTGCAGAAAAGTTATGAGAGATACCCACAAAAAAACGGGGAGGCAGCCGACTGGAGCCAGGCCGGCCCGCTCCCGCGGTTAGTCACTCACATCTGATATTCGTCTATCGCCTCCACCAGCTGGCCCCAAGAGTCGAAGTCGGCGCCTCTCCTAAAACTGGCGCCCCAGCGCTGCAGCAGACTCCGGGTCACCTCCGACATGGCCGGTCCCCACCCTGTACCCTCCCGCCCCTACCCCACCCAAGGTCCGGCTCTAGGGCGCCATCCCCCCCAGGCCTGGCCTCGACATTAACAGGGCCAGGAGGAACCACTACGGTCACCACCGCCACCCGCCAAGGAGCCGCCCAAGCCCATTTGCCGCCACAGCCAAACTTGCAGCTCTGAAGTGGCCGCCCCGCGGAAGCCCCGCCCCCGAGGCCCTGCCCCTGCGTTAGGTTGAGGCCGCCCCACTCCACCGAGCGGTCGCCATCAGTTTTAGGACATCTTTCTCGGCTTAGGAGGCCTGTCCTGTTCTTGTCCTTCCGCTCTGAGGAGGGACCACAGCTCTAGAGAAGAAACCAGAAAGGGGAAGTTAAGAAAAGGGCTGAAGAACGGAGTGTTCTGAAGGGGCTGCGAAAACCCAGCAGCCTCCGCCCCTAAACGGCGCGAACTGCCGCCTCGGTAACTATCATGGCGCCAGACCCACGTGACTCGGCCTCTTGTCTGGCCTGATTTCCTGTTGCTATAGCTTAGTAGCCCCGATTCTCCGATTCCTTCCTTTGCTTGCTTGCGGGCTCGGACATTGCCCTTCTTCCCTGGAGAGAACTGCTGTACAAACTCTGAAAAATCCAGTAAGTATGTCATAAGGTGGGCGTTACCCAGATATATTCCTCCCCAGAGTTTCAAGCAATAGGTCACCCCTTTTTACACCAATCTCCGTAGACCCTGCTGGACAAAATCTAAAAGTCCCCTTCTATTGTTTTGAAACAAACGGAAGAAAATCCACATTGATCACGAATCAATGGTATTAACAGCTAGATTTTCCGAATTCCCTTGCCTCGGCGTCTTCCCCGGTAGTTGAAGGTCTTTAAATCTAAGTAAAGGATTTGTTCGGCTGTTGTCTACTCGCTTCTCCTGGTCGATAGTGTCGGCTTTCTACAAAAACGTCTGTTCGGAAAGAACGGCGCTCGAGTTGACGCTTGCGCATAATTGCCGCCAGCGGCCTCGGGACCGGATCTGGGCACTGGGACGGGAAGAGGCTGGAAGGTAAACAGGAAGTGGACGTTCAGGTAGGTCTTTGGGGGACTAGGCATCTGGAATAAGGGCCCCTGCTCAGGAATCGGAGTCCTCCAGTGGAAGGGCGTTAGGTGGGCTTCTATATTCGAATGTTGTACTGGTGGCTCCAAAGGCATCCCGGTACTCTGGGTGGGTGTGTAGTTCTTCCACTCCTTCCTCCGAATTCCTGAAGACAAGAATGCGAGCTCGCAGAAGGAGAAAGATGAGGCAGAGAATACAATACTTGGTTCCTTACCGGCTTCATTCCTGCAGTAAAGCTGCACAAAACTTGAGGCATTTTTGTCCAGGAAGTGGATGCTGCCTTAATATGAAGTATTTGTAGAATTTTTGCTTTCATAAAATCAAATGCTTGATTTATATGCTATAATGTTTACATGGAAGATGTTTTTTTAAGAAGTTTTTTTTATAAGGAGTTCTTTAGTGTTTGAGTCAATTTTTCATTGGTACATTGATGCACCAAAAACCATTTGTATCATGAGTAAGTAAATATAAAGGAGGTGCTTAAAGTAGGCATTTCATACACTGTGTTAAGCCTACGTTTATTCTAATAAGAAAAAAAATCAATTGACAACTTTGTATAATGTTTTCAAATTAAGTAAACGATCAGTATTTTTTCTTTATTAATTGCTGTGTTTAGGTCTTCAGCTAGGCCTTCCTGTGTTTTTTGCACTACCTCCCAAGGGACTTATTTACACATGTGGTATACTGCTTCTTTTTAAGACTAAAAGGTATGGAATTTATTTTTTTCAAGTTGGCATTTCACGTAGGTAGTTATTTTCAGATGTTTTCATTTTTGGTAAAGAAGTTACTGAAGAATAACTTTTTGAATTTATTGAAGTGTTAATTTTTATTGTGAAAATACTGGTTCTTTTAGCTATTTTATGGAAAATGCATTATCATGGAACAAAAGGTATACTTGGTTGGCAACAGCAGTATAATTCAGGAAATACAATTAATTTAAGGAGTATTTCTAAGTAGCTTTAACCATCTAGAAAGATGGTTACCATTTGAACCCATTTTGGAAATTACATTCATCTGGCCTTCTACCCTTCTCACTTGCAAAGTCCAGTATTTTGCTTCTCAGAAATGTAGTCTGGAGAACAGGAATACTAGCATCCTCTGGGATTTGACTGCTAACCAGAGGCTGGCAGTTCAAACCCACCAGCCACTCCTCAGAAGGAAGACTGGGCAATCTACTTGCATAGAGATACTGCCTCAGAAACCCAAGGAGGAGTTGAGTTAAATCAACTTGACAGCAGTAAGTTTTTGGGGAGCAGCTTATTAGAAATGCAGACTCTCAGGCCCCGCCTCAGACTGTTGAATTAGAACCTCATAAATCAACTTCCAGGTGATTTTTTTGCACTTTGAAGTTTAAAAATCATTTCTCTTCGGTATTTAGCATTAATGTTACTGTGGGCAAGTTTCCCAATGCTTTTTTTCTCTTTATTTAAGCCTGATACAGATATAAACTAGCTGCCTTTAGGTTGATCCTGATTCATGCTGACCTTATGTATGTCAGTGTAGAACGGTGTTTCATAAGATTTTCAGTGACTGATTTTCAGACTGGATTACTCACCTTTTCTTCAAAGGCATCTCTAGGTAGACTTGAACCTCTAACCTTTCAGTTTCCACCCTCAGGGACTTCTGATCTAAATATTGCAAAAAAAAAAAATTGCTGTTAAGTTTATTCTGACTCATAGCTACCCTAAAGAACAGAGTGGAACTGCCCCAAAGGGTTTCCAAAACTGTACTCTTTACAGAAGCAGATTGCCACACCTTCTTTCTTCTGTAGGGCAGCTGGTAGGTTCGAGCGTCTTACCTTTTCATTAGGAGTCAAGCGCTTAACCACTGCACCACCAGGACTCTCATCTAAATATGTTGTTGTTGTTATGTGCCATCGAGTCTGACCCAACTCATAGCGACCCCTCCTTGGACTTCTGAGGCAGTATCACTATGGAAGTAGTGCCTGACCAGTAGAGTGACTGGTGGGTTTGAACCACCAGCCTTCTGGTTAGCAGTCAGGTGCCTTAGGCACTATACCATATAGACTCCCTTAAATAGACAACCAGTTAAATCAAGTTTTACTTGTAGCAATGAAGTATTTTAGGTAGATCGATAGATCGATAGGTAGATCAATAGATCGATAGATAGATCGATAGATAAAAAAACCCAAACCTACTGCCATCAACGTTATAGGACAGAGTAGAACTCCCCATAGGGTTTCTAAGGCTGTAAATGTTTATGGAAGCAGACTGCCTCGTCTTTCTCGTGAGGACCAGCTGGTCAGTTTGAAACACTGACTTTTTCATTAGCAGCCAAATACCTTAACCACTGTGCCACCAGAGCACCAATAAATAGACAGCTATAATAGATTATATGCATGTATGTTCTATAGTATTTTATGTTTTAAAAAAATCATTATTTTTATACTGCCTACATTGTTCACTAAATGTTTTATCTTTAACTTTTATACATTTCTTTTTTTGTCTAGAAAATATTTGGGGAAAATGACCCATTGGTTTCATAGGAACCCGTTAAAAGCCACAGCTCCTGTATCCTTTAACTACTATGGTGTAGTCACTGGCCCTGCTGCTTCAAAAATTTGCAAGTAAGTTTTAGTCAGTGTGGCAGTTAAGTTTGTGTATCAATTTGGCTAGGCCTGGTTGAGTGGTTGGACAGCTGGGTGTAGTATTCCCCATGATGAGACTGGTAATCAACTCCATGGTGGGATCTACCACAAGCAGCTGAGTAGCTGCTTTAGGGGTGTGGCCTGCTTCTCGTATATAAGTAGCAGCTTTGGGAATGGTCTCTAGCTTATCGCAGGCTTGAACCCTGTGTGTAGCCCTGTCGTTGATCAGCAGCCTGTCATGCTCTGCCAACCTTGGGACTTTCAATGGACTTGAATAAGTGGCCTGCTGTGTGGTTTGGTAACATTGAGACTGTGCCTTTTTACTTGTCAACCTTGGTTTGTTAGCCTCAGCAGCCAGCAGCTGAGTGAAGAAAAGCCTCTAGCTTCAGTGGGCCGGGAGCAGGAGACAGAGCTACAACCAAAGGTTGAAGGGCTTTCACCCAGCTCCTAGAGCCTGGCACTTTGAACTTGGACTTAAAACCTCCAAATTGTAAGAATAAACTCCTATTTGCTAAGGCCATTCCATTTGTGGTATATTCTTGTCAGAGCGGCACTAGGTAACCGGAACGGTCAGTCTCAAGTATTGATTAAAACACTCTTGAGTACAGGGTACTTTTTTAGGTTCCATGAGCAGTACAGAAATAATGTAACACACTATCCCAACCCTTAGACTCCTTGGAAACTTACAAATGACATGTGAAGAGTTAAATTATAGAGTCTTTAAATTTCAGTTGTCATGTAGGCCAAGATACTTATTTTCAGATCAGTAAACTGAGCCCCAAAGAAACTAAAGCAGTCACAATGAAGGAGTTAAGTATATTATAACACTACAAGAGATTCCACAAAGTAGTATATGCATATTTTTATTTGGCCAAATAGGAAATTCATTGAGTTCAGAGCAAGGAGAGGTCCCCACGACCTAAAATGGCCTTGAAAATACCTGTATAGGAGGGAAGGACTTGAGCTAAGGTATAAATAAATTGTATGGCTTAGATCAGTGGTAGGCAAACTGTGGCCCATAGATTTGGCCGTTTGTGTAAATAAACACAGACACTCTTAATTTACATACTGTTTATGGCTGCCTCTGGTTTCTTTCCCTACAACAGCAGCGTCAAGTAGTCCCCACAGAGACCTTACTTCCAGCAAAGCCTAAAAGTTTTACTATCTGACCCTTTATTGGACCTTGATTTATTAGATTGTGAAAGGAAAAAGTCATTTATGTCCACAAAACCTTTGCTCTAGGGATAGTGAGTAGAGCAGTTTGGCTAGAACAAAAGAAGAAAGATACAAGAGATGATTTCAGAGATGGAATCAGCTGGCCTAATTGACTAATTTGTTCTGGCTGGTTGAAAAGAATTCCTTCTACTTGAGATATAGAACCTAGATAGTCAACACACAGTACTACCCGTAAAGGAAAATCAGGAAAGTTGCTGACTTTTTTAGAAAGAAGTGTTCGGTGCAAAGGGTAAGAAAACAGTCTTTTTATTAACCTAGACCAAATATCAGCAAACTTTTTTATGTAATGAGCTAGATAGTAAATATTTTAGGCCTTGTGGGCCATATACAGTCTCTGTTGCATATTCTTTATTTTTACAATCCTTTAAAAACGTGAAAACCATTCCTAGTTGAGGGCTATAAAAGAAAGAGGCCACGGTCCATAGAAAAGCAAGTTATAGATTGTAGATAGCCAACCCTTAGTTTAGACTCCTAAAGGCTGGTCCCAGTCTAGCTGTTTTATCTATATCGTTGGCAGATCCTTTCTTTGGGCTTAATTATCTATAAAAATGTACATCAGGAATTAGATATTTCAAAGGCACATTTTTATCAAATTTGTAATTTTGAGATGACTGTAGCTTCACACAAATTGGGGCTGTAGGTGGTAGTTGAGCACCAAAGAGAAAATAACTAATAGACTATTTGAGTGTAGAATAGAATTAAGGATTCTAATTTTTATTCCAGAAATCACTCCTCCCACTTTCTACTTAAATACTTCCAACAATGGCATATTCATGAGGTAGCCCATCCCATTTTCAGCCAGCTGTATGTTATTGTTGACATGTACTTTTCTTGGAATAAGCCTCCATTCATGATTAAGTCTACTCTTCTAAATATCACTTCTGTATTACAGCCCTCCTAAATCTTAAAATATTTTGAATGTTTATTCTTCACTGAACAAGTAATTTCTGAGTACATATTTTGTGCCAGGTACCTATTAAGTTCTGGATACACAGTCTCTTGGTGCTTACAACTTAAATTTAATCTTTAGTCATTTAAACGTTGTCATGGATTGTGTCCCCAGAAAATATGTTAATTTGTCTAGGCCATTATTCTCAGTATTATGTGATTATCCTCCATTTTGTGATACGTTCAAAATCCTAATCTCTATCTGTTGTTACTGATGCAGAATTAAGTTATGTTAAAGAGTATTAAGTTATATTTGTTATATTAATGAGGGAGGATTAGAGTGGGGTATATTACCTTTACTTAAGTTCCCACCCTTACTCAGTTCACAGACCTGATCCCATGTAAAAGGAGTTTTTCTGGGGTATGGCTTGCATCACCTTTTATCTTATAAGAGATAAAAGAAAGAGCAGAGATTGAGGGACCTTATTACCACTAAGAATAGCCAGGAAAAGAATTCATCCTTTGGACCTGAGGTCCCTGCACTGAGAATCACCTAGACCCAGGGGAGCAGATGCCAAGACACCTGGAGATCTCCAGGGAATGCTGTGCATACACATGTTGAAAGAAGATAAAGACTTTTCCTTAGAGCTATCAGTGAGAGAGAGAGATCCTTCCCCTAGAGACAGCACCCTGAATTCAGACTTCTAACCTCCTAAATTGAGAGAATAAATTTCTGTTTGTAAAAGCTGTCCATTTGTGGTATTTCTGTTAAGCAGCACTAGATAACTAGATAAGATACATGCATTACAAATGTCTTCATTCATTGTTCATGTAATGTGCTTTCTGCAACCCTCGCTGATCTGATTGCCTCCTGGAATTACGTATGGAACTGGACCAAGTTCAAAATTGTGGATGTAGATCTAGGAACAGATATAGATGAAGTTGCACTAATAAGATTGCAAAAGAAAAAAAACCAGAAAGCTGAAGACTGAACTTTTTAGGAGGTGGGAATAAGAAGGGAACATAGGAAAAAGTATACAAGTAGGTTGCAGACGTAAAAGAATAACCTAGAAAGTTTAGAGTTACTAAGTCAAAGAAGTAAAGAACTTCAGGAAGGATAATGTGGATCAGCAACATTACTGTTACAGAGTAGAGGTGAGTGGATTTGGGAAGCAGTTTTAAAACAAGGAAAGCCACATGTTTTTACATATTCTTGGTATGTGTACTGTAGAATGCAAGTTTACTTTTAAGATTTTCCTAGTAAAATATTTCAATAATGTATATGTAATGTCAGTTTCAGAAATTTGGAGGAGATACTAAAATACACAAACATGTTAAATTTGTTTTTAAAAATGCTTTTGTGAGATGATCAGGTTAAGTTACTCATCCTTAATTTCCTCTCAAATCTTAAATGTATGCATTTGTTTGATTCTTTTATTATTATTATTATTATTATTTGAATTCAAAACTTGTATATATTCATTGTGTAATTTTATCCATGATTTGCCCCTTTAATTAGACTTTATTTATTTTAGTCCAATTTTTTAAACAATTATTATTAGAAATTTCCTTTAGCTCTAGTGTTAGTTATAATTACATTATTTTCTGTGTCATAGGTAATACCTTGGAGATGTGGGGTAGTTTGTGTGTGTGTTTTGTGTTTTAAAGCTCTTCTATTGAAACTTTTAAGCCTCTTTTACACAGATCCTAGTAATACAACTTATTTAACTTTTCTATCTTTCTCATTTAAGTGACTTGCGATCATCCAGGACACGGCTGCTTGAACTGTTCACTGATTTGAGCTGTAATCCAGAAATGATAAAGAATGCAGCAGATTTGTATTTTTCACTTTTACAAGGTAATTTATATGAACTTCTAGAATTTTTTAAAAGTACTATAGAAATTCACATTTAATTCTTAGATTTTTCAAATTTGAATTGTTTGGTCTTCTAGGCTATATACTTTGGTATACTTGAGTTTAAAATATGTAAGAATATAAGGGTGGTATATAATCTTTCTAATGTTTGAAAAATTAAATACGTACATATTTCATATTATTTTACCTCAGGAGATGGCGTGGGACATGGAAGGGTAGGGAGAGGCTAGGACTTTTATTCAGGAACCTGGAAAAATCATTATCTGAAAATTTTTCTAAACAGAACATTTGATGTTTCTTGTAAAACTAAAATGTTTTCTACCTTTTTTTCAGGTTTTATAAATTCACTGGATGACTCTACCCAAGAAAGCAAGTTGCGATATATACAAAATTTCAAATGGACTGATACATTACAAGGACAGATCCCAAGGTAAGCAATGCTATCATAGACTAAATTGAAGCCAATTTTTGTAACTATTTAGCCTCTGTATTTGAAGAGGAGACATACAGGTCTTACCAGCATTTTCTCTTAATAGGAAATTAATTAAAAACATTGCATCTAAAGGATGGTTCAACATTAGAAAAACAATCAATGTAATCCACCACATAAATAAAACAAAGGAGAAGAACCACATGATCATATCAATTGATGCAGAAAA